CGTCATGCTTTCTTTGATCTACCGTCACATTCATACCGATTCATTATGTTCATTAGTTCACTCTTTTGTCACGACAACATCAATGAACAGCTTCGTCGTTGAGTTAATTTGACAAAATCGAATTTTAATTTTCAAAAGGCGCTGATTACTGAGACGCCGAAAAAAGAATTGATAAAAATGCCTGTAAAAATGCTGCCACATAGAAATATCATAACGGTAAGCCTGAAATCAAGTTAACAATTGATTGGGCCGCATTGCACCTTTCTTGATTGATTGCTGACAATCATTTTCATCATAGACAGCATAACGGAAAAAATAGATAGCACAATGCCTAGTAATCAGCGACGAAATTATTGAAAAGATAGCAAATCAAAAATGAAATTTGGTTTTACTAGCCACTAATGAAGGTGGCAGCCGTAAATCGCACGCAATCGAAATGTAAGAACATGGCTGAATGCATCGAAAAAAAAGGTTCACTCAAAACTGTAAATTAAAGTAAAAGAGTCGGTTTGTTGAGAATGATTGAAATAAAAGACATATTTCTTTCAAAAAAAAAAGAGTTTTCCACTTAAGAACTATATTTTGTTCGGTAAGTGGTCCGATGTAAGCCATATATTCGGAGATTGTAACATTGTCTTCGACAAAAATTCATGCGGGAAGATAACTTGTCAAATAAAAGGACTTCATTTTGTGTTATCGGTTTGTATGGTAGCTATATCCAAGAGTTGTCCGATATTGGCGTTTGCGACAAATGAGCAGCTTCTTTTGGAGAAAACGATGTGTGCAAAGTTTTAGACCGATATCACAAAAGTTAAGGGACTAGTTCGCCTATGTACAGACGCACAGACAGAAAGACATGCCTAAATCGACTCAGCTCGTTACGCTGATCATTTATATATATATTTAATCTAATGTTTCCTTTTGGGCGTTTCCGTGTTGACGTATGCCAGAAGCCGGAATTCAGCTTGATATATACGAAAATTTCGAACCATGCCATCGAAATATGTTCTGCGCCGTAGTTAGACATTTCCCAGGTTCTACCTAAGTCGGAGTTTATCTTGCGACAGGCCCAATTTGTTCTTGTATTTCTGGATAATATAATTTATTCAGTCGTTTAGTTTTTAAAAAACAAAAAAAAATTTTTTTACATTTTTTTTGGACAAAAAAAATTTTTTTAACATCTAGATCCCACTCAGTTTTAAAGTAAATTTTCGAGTTAAAATTTCTATTTCGTAAAAACTTTTTGATAAGCGTTCTAGAAGCTGTGGAGAGTCCTCTTTCTGGACAATTAAAAGTTATCAACTTAAACAATTTTTGTTTGCTCATTATTAGAGTTTGAAAAATTCTTAAACGACAAGATGCTTTCCTTAAGCGTTAAAATAAATTTTGAGTCAAAAACCGTCACGTTCGGTAATTTTTTATATAAATGTATTCGGTAATTTTATATACAAGTAAATGTAAAGAGTTTACACCAAAATTAATTTTTTCTTATCCAAAAAACTGAGTGCCCCAAAATTTTCCTGTTTTATAATCTACAGATTTTAAAGAAATTTTTCATTCCACCCTACCCCATATTGACTAAAGTTCTAACGTAAGCTCAACTCGTTCACCGGTTGCGTACTCGTCGGTCAATTCGTTTTGTTATCTCGCGATGTACTGTGCTTGAGCCTACTTCAGCTCACAAATGAGCTCAACTTCATTTCAGGACAACTTCGCTAGATCTTCTATGAGATGCTAAAAGGATAGACTAGTTATCATTATAACAAAGTCAAGCTGGTGTCTTTCAGTGTACTTTATTTTTAAAGAACTTAACTCGGCATCTTAAATTGAACGAACTTCTTTCACTTTGTGAAGCTGGTCTCAAACGAATTGTAAATTTTTAGCATGTCTGTTTATTTTGTTTGATTGGATCACAGACATTTTAGGTTTCATATATTCGGATCTTAATACTTTTGAAATCTTCGAGATTCTCATACTTACCTTTAAATATTTCTAGTTCAATGAAAATTCGGTATCAATATCAGTTTTTGTTACAGCACCATTTAATAAGTACCTTAAGGTAAGTGCCTACATTTGTTCCCTTTGTACTGCTTGAAGTACCCAGTAGCTTTTAAAAGAAAACAACGGTACACTTATTATATAATAATTCTTCTACAACAATATATCACAATAAATAACAACAATGCAGTGTAAGCAGTGGGGGTAAGAGGAAAACAACAATTTGGGTAAATTTTATAGCTGCAAGATAGTCATATAAATTTTGTCTACCTACGAAATTTTCTTGGACAATTTCGCGTACCCCCACCTAACACTTCTTATGTGAGTAGGTATGTGTGTATTTCTTTTCTGTTAGCTTCGTTGCCAGTGCCTTCGATACAAATTTTTTGGTGAACTGTAGCTTCTTATTGACCCACACCTGTTTACTGTTATTTTCTGCACTCGACGACCGAACCACTGCTCGCCCAATACTCCTGCAGATGGTCTTTCTTGAACGCCACCCCGTTTGTACCATAATTCTGATTGTTATTCTTTGGATACAATAAAATTGTGGTGAGCCGTTATTTCGTCTCAACTGGGGCCGATTGTCATACAAGCATATACACATACACACCTTAATGCTTGCGGCTTGGCTGTATTTTGAATGCCACTGCCACTGCCATTGCCAGGCGCACAAAGCTCGCCAAGTAGACGGTTGCTGCTGTTGTTGTTGTGCGCTGCTGTGTTTCTGCTGGGAATTGGAATGTGAATTTATATGAGTATTTTTTTGAAAAACCAATTTCGTATTGCGGATGGGCCATATTATAAAATGAAATTGTCTTGCACACGCACAGGTACACGCCTAACAACAACAACACACATACAATTTATATTTATGAATATCTCGTGTTTTTTCATTTTTTTTTGTGCAATTTTCATCTACTTGGCAACCAACCTCTGGTGTTTATGCTCAACGCACTGGAAATGAAAAGATTTCGAAAAAATAAAAAAATAAAACGATGAAAGAAAATATCATAAATAAGCCCATATTTATTTAATACTAAAAATTAATATTATCTGCTTGTTAGTGAAGTTATATTTTAGCTGAAAATAGAAGATATGTGTTTGAGGGTTTTATTCACTACAGTTAAGGTTCAATGTCATAAAGAGACTGAGCTTTTCATTCGATTGTCGATTTGTCAACTAATGAATAGCTGAACTAAGACTTTCAGAATTTTTGATAGAAATTACTGAAAACGCTTCACAGAAACTTCACCACAATTACTAAGTTGCCAAGCTCTTTATGTTTTACCCTTGCCTTAGTGGTGAATGCGGTGGTCTCTTCAATTTTCTTCGGTCTTCTCATGGCCGAGGCATCGCAGTCACTGCGCTTCGATAAAGCGTATAACATTTTCAACTTTTATAAGTTGATCTAGCTAATTGTTCCACCTTATACGAAACACGTCATTAGCTTTTACTGTTCCAAAGATTTTCCTTAGGATCTTTGTTTCAAAGATTTGTAGTTTGATTTTGCGTAGCGTTCATGATTCAGCTCCGTAGCATAATACTGGTGGAATGATGGTTTTGTATGGTGCTATCGGAATCAATAATGTTTCTCAAATTACTATTGATATCTGTTGTGAGCAAATTGTAAGTCTACGTTCTTTACTTTTATCTAGACGAACTTTTTTGGCTAGTAGGTATTATCGCCTCCAGCAGTGGGTTGCTGGATCCAGATATCTACACTGCAGCAATCGTACTGCTTCGCTGTTGACGTTTTTTCTTCATAGTCTTACTTATCTCGTCTTTATCAATTTAGGAATCTTCATGCCAGTATTTTCATTGGAAAAAAATTTCTCTTGACATCTTTTTGAGGTTTTCGGGGCAGATCATCCCAAGGGTGCACTAAAAAGGTTACTCAACCTACCACTAATTGACTTTGCAGTGTAAATCTCTGCAGCAAGACTGGCGGATTCGTAGATGCAATAGACCACATACTCACACTCTTTATTTGGGAGAGAAGGTTTCAAGTTATACTAAAAGAGGGGGGATGGCGCAGTAGCTATATCTATAAAGACGGATCAAAAATGGTTAATGGAGTGGGCGCCGGAATCTGTTGCTCGGGGCTGGATCTTAGGTTTCAAACTTCCGGAATACTACAGTATCTTCTAGGCGGAAGCCTTGGCGGTGAGTAATGCGGCTCAGAGCTGAGCTAACAACGCAGAAAACAACATAAAGAAGATCAATAAATTTAGTATTAATATAATATAAAATAATTGATAGCCAAGCGAACGTTTTACGTCAGAATGCCCTTAGAAACAAAGAAGCAGTAGATGTAGCGGCTGTCGAAAGCGGCTTCCGAAAGGGCTGATAGATGGATCAAGGTGAGATGGAATGTCTTAAGGACATGCAGGAGTGCCAAGATCATGTGAAAGAGCCAGGAAGAAAAACACGCAGGCTTTTTACTTACGCGGTCACGAAAGAACTGCAGGTTGTTGACTAAATGACAGGTCACAATCTACGGGCAACACATGCGAGGTGGTTGGACATAAATAATGACGATATATGCAGAAAGTGCAGGGAAGTAGGCACGACAGAAACGTAGAAACAACTCCTATGCTTCTGTCTAGTCTTATCTAGAGCTCGTCTTAGATATCTTGGAGCTTCGCAGTTTAAGAGACTGGATGAAGTATTAAAATAAGATATCAAGTCGCTCTTAAATTTCGCAAAATGCGTTGACGTCTCGTATGACGAATACTTCAGCTCAAATTAAACTGAAACTCCATCTGGTATTACTACCATAAGTGCTAGTAGTTCCATTTATGGCATGACAGCCGGCCAGTATAACTTAACCTCACCTTTTTCGGGGGTTTCTCTTGTAATAATTTCAATAGGTCTTCAAAATGTGTAAACAAGTAAACATATGTATGCTTGCATCTATGCTTGTCTGCTTATTATCTCTCAACATAATTACTTAAGTGTATTTCTCTCTCAACTCAAGCAATAAAAATTACAATTACCTGTGCTCATTGTGTCATCAGACATTTTCAAAATTGTTATTGTTATCAAAAAATGAACTTTTCGCCGACAACTGCCGTCAAACGATACAACAAAATACACACTACACTACATTTTGCTACGAGTAACAACTAACGGTAGTATTTTCGCTACAAAACCACCCTCGTACGGCGAGTAGGTAATCTTTTATTGCATGTACTTAGCGGCCAGAGCCAGGCGCTGCCATGAAAAAAGTGAAAAGAAGAAACAACCAAGGGTAGCGCAAACAACCCACGCAGCAACAACAGCAACAATAACAATAATGGCATAGTACAAGTATACAATAAGCATTTGAATGCAGCAACGACTGGAGCGCAACAACAATCACCCCGGATATCAGCACACACACACCACTCATACTTGTATATATGTATATATAATATATATATCAGAGCATTAAACCACCACCTCCGCCGCCATGCGCCGCGTCCACCCACCGTTGTTGGGCAAAAAACGCGCTTGCCACCCTCAAAAATTGTGAACGTCGTGGCAAAAAAAAAAAAACCGAAACGAAAAATGTTTGCGCTGGTGAGAGCGAAGTCGAGAAAATAACGGCATTGAAATGGAAACAAACATGGTCGACACGAATGGACGACGTTGATCGAGCACACTCACACACACGCACACGGATACATGGATGAACATTTTGTTGGCAGGCGGTTTTGGTGGCAACTCTCGCCACGCTGTGTTGCGGAGGTGGTGCGGCAGTTGATAGCTTTCAACCATTTTCCAATGATGGATTTTCAAAATTTTAATGGTTCCTCGCGGATGAGCAACTTTTCAAGTGTGCCGGCGTGCGACGTTGGCGCGCTAAGCAGGGTGGCAGCTAAGCGCACACTGTGTGGGTGTGTGTGTGTAGGTTTGTAGGTGAGGGTGCTCACGCTGGCAGGGTGGCAGAAAGTGTACCACGCGGTGACAAACATGTGTATGTGTGTGTGTGTGTGTTGTCTTCATGTTTATATTGATGTACGCGCATGCAATAAAGTAAGCCAAAAACCAAAAGCAACAATAAAGCTGCACTGGGCGGTGGCGTATGTGGCACGCAAATCAGCCTGCGGTGGGGGGGGTATATTAAGTTTTTTCGGTGCTCGTTGGTTCGATTAAGCGTTCATAGCGAGCAATAAAGTTGTTTTGCAAAATATGGAAATACCAAGCAGCAGCGCTAGCGCTTTGGTGGGCATCACAAAGCGGGGTGGGCGGCGGATGTAGAACTTTTTCATGGATTGGCGGAATCGATATTTACAATATTTTGCATTTCATTTCTTTTTAGAGTTTTGCATGTTTGGTTTAGTCATAATCTAATAACTGTATATATACATATGTATATGTGTGTATATTAGGGTGGGTCAAAAAAAGTTGGTTACACTGAAAAATTGGTTGGTAAGCAACTCTAAGCAACGTTCACCATAAAACGAAATATATTTTCAAGTAGTTGGCAACGAGATATGATTCTTAATATCCGATCATAAGAAAAAAAAATAGATAACGGTAAAGCGGAGGACCTTCCCGATACAATTAAGAGCTGATACTTGGAGAGCGTTTCTTAAAGCTGTCTACCAACCAATTTTTCGGAGTACCAAGCGAAAAAAAAAATAATAAATTTATTTTGACTCACCCTAGTGTATATATGTATGTGTGTGTCGAGTTACTGTCAGTCGCGTCGTACGTTCCCAGCCAGTCTTCAAATTCGTTTAGTTTGACGGTGTGAAATTAAATTGCTTTACTGTGTATTTTCAATGTTAGTTTTACCGTTTTGTCTGCTGACTTTCATTGTTGCATGGACGTATTTATGAAATATAGTTTCAATACTTAAGTTGAAGTTTAAATTTTAATATTTTAGTTAAATCCGTCTTTAGTTTTCAAAGCTGCGCATATTTCATAAAGCGATACTAGCGAGCTCAAGCGCTGACTGTACGCTGGAAACTAACATAGTGAAAGCATATTTCGACTCCTTATTTTTGGCATCGAGTTACTTCATGATAAGACTAACTTAGGTGCCTGGCCACAGGGGAATTACAGGAAACTGTAAGGGTGATTAACTAGCTAGGTCAGATACTTTAGTCTCACTTTCAGCTGAACAGTAATGGGTAAAAGCTGCACTGGCGTCTTGGGGTTCACTACTATAAGATGGTTGAGCCTCTGGCGAGCTCAGAAAGCGCTGGTTGGGTATTAGCCACTGTAAATTTTCAAGGGTTTTTGACCCAAAGTAAATTGTAAGAGCTCTAGTGAGCTCTTCGCCCTCCTAAAAGTTCCCCTTTCTATAGTTATAGGAGTTCTAATTAGAGACTGCTCGATCGGGGTTTATGCGGAATGATTGAAAATCTTATCGGATGCCAGTTGCACAAGAGAATACTACTTTAAAGAGGATGAGATAGAAACATCTCAACATCGGAAAGGCAGTCCGAATATCTCGCCCTTGCCAGACCAAGGCTATCTTGGACGTGACACTTTTAGATGTCCAGGTGGAAAAAGTTAAGACAGAATCATCTCAACACTTTCTTATCGAATTTTGCGTCCTTGCTAGACCAATATTGAAATACCACGGATCTGACACTTTTAAATATCCATGTGGAATAGCGGATATTGAAATAAAACACTAAGGCAGAATTGTGATAAGTTCTGAGGAGAAATGAATTTCAAGTTTTCTCAATTGAGCAAACTGATATTTGGCTAATATGCTGACTTATGAAATAAAAATGTAATTTTGTTGTTGTTGTTGATGTTGTAGCGACTGTCGAATGAAAAAAAAATGTTACGTAATTTAATATTACACGATATTTTTTAACTTTTTTTTCATAATTTTATCTTCGAAAAAATTTCGACCTAACGTATTATAAGGTTACCGTTCTCTTAGATGTTTCATAAATATTGCTATATGATTTAAGATCAACTGTAAAAACTCAAAGAAATATGTAAGTTTAAGTAAAAAGTAGATAGACCTTGTAAATTTTTCAAAAACTGAGTAAAAGTTTCTTGTTCATACCAAATTTTTAACTTCTAAATTTTTTTTTTTTTAACTTTTGACATAAAACTTAAGAATCCGGTTTGTGGTATTAAGATTTTATATTTTTTTTAATCCCATATTTGGTGTAAATTTTTGTTTTCACTTTTTAATTCCGCATTTAGTATTTAAATTTATAGCACAAGAGATTAGCCCTCATAGCCGAAATTTTTGTATTCGAATTTCGAAATTAAGCTTATTGAGAATATTATTATAAATTATAGTAAGTATATAAGTTACCAGAAGAGTACAAATATAGGCGTCATCAATGTCTTCTTCTTCTTTCAATGGTATATAATATTTTTCTGTCATGCTGATATGAGGTATGCTATAAGCGACCCAACTCAGATCTTCAAAACAAAAAAAAAAAAAAAAATTAAAAGGCTATCGTATAGATATGTACTATTATTATTAATGATATTTTCAATAAGATATTTTTCGCACTTCAAATGCAAATATTTTGATTTTGGTGCTAACTTCGAAAAACGGCGAAATTTTTTTTTTACTTATGACTAAATCTTTCGAAAAAATTTCTTTGGCACAATAACCAGCCGAGTGTGGTACGCTGTTATTTATTTTATTTTATTTATTTATTTTAAGCAATTTATGCTTATTTAAATTTAACTTAAGATAAAACAACATAATCTTGATACTATTATGAACCCACAAATGCATTAGCCGCGCTATATTTCCGCCATATATTCAAATAATTCGACTACAATTTTATTATCTCCAGCAGTAAAAGCAATCAGAAATTAAAATCGGCTTAGGAATTGGTAATTTATTTATTATTTCATGTCGCCAAATCACATTCCTTTTATTCTGCGCAAAGCACAGATCACTTTGACTTTATTTCTACAATAATCTACAACAACACAGATTTATTTGTAAAATTCAACGAACTAATAAGCCACCAACGTTGTCCTGCCAGGTAAAATACATACATACGTACATATCTGTTCTTGTCTTGTGCGTAATCCCCGTCTGTTGGCCATAAATATTCATGGCACAAATTACAGTTTAATTGTTTTTATCGCGACTGTTCATTGCTCGCAGTCGAAGTGAAGAGCGGCAAAGACCAAGACGATTGCCAACGCCTTCTAATTACCATTTTTACGAGGATTATTTCGGTAAAACGCAACATGTGAGAAGAAGCGGCAGAGCGGGGGGGGTGGTAAGCTGTTTTATGTTTTTAAGTAAATGCGTTCTAACGGTTCATGTGCTTGTCCGCAACATGGCATTTACATAAGAAATTCGCCGCTTAAATTAATCCTCAATAAGTCAATGCCTCGTCTGTTCGACGACTTCGATGCCAACACGCCTGCGAGCATTGTCTTCGTCCGAAGAGATGAAATTAAAGTATTAAAAAGCAATTAGCATTTAAATATCACTCGCAACGTAGTGCTAACATAAGTTGCTAGCGTGTCTTAGGGAAAATGTGAGCGAATAAGTTCGAAACAGATGTCTAGCATTTGTAAGCGTATTAAAAAGCTAAAGCTCTCGGTACGTTGGGCGGGCTAATAACGAGAGATGTGCTGTGTGGGCGTGTAAAAGTGGGAAGTGTGGTGAGTATCGTGAGCATGGTGTTTGCGTGGTCAATATTTGTTTTTGTTCTCGCGTAGTATGCTGCATAGATAATACTTGATAGTTTCTCATGTAACGGTTGTTTGTAAAATATTTAGTCGCTCACTAAGTAATTTCGTTTGATGGCAATAGCGGAACATATGGAATTTTTTCGCAATCAACTTCAAACTTAACCGCTTTACCGTTATATTTTTAAAATTTTTTGTAAAACATTTTTTAAAATTTTTTTTGAATAGTTTTCGTTTGGTGCCCTTTCAAAGATGGAATAGGAAAATTACATTTTCGACATATTTTACTGTTTTATCATCAAAAGGGTAAAATGCAGTTATGTAATGACGACTTGACATATGGGTTCCTTATGTTCTTACAAAACGAAATTTGCTTCGTCGCATTATAACGACTGTGATTTGCTTATCAAGCGTCAAAGAAGTGATCCATGTGAGAATGAAGCGCATTATAACTGGCGACGAAAAGTGGATTGTTTACAAGAATGTAAAACGCAAGAGATCATGGTCGAAAATATAATATATGAAACAGCTCAAATCACTTCGAAGGTCGATAGTCACCAAAAATAGGTTATGTTGTCTGTTTGGTGGAATTTTGAAAATGATCGTTTATTTTTTTGCCCGACAATACCACGATTAATTCTGCACGGTATTGTTATCAGCTGGACAAATTGTGTGATGCACTCAAACAGAAAAAGACCAGAATTGGTCAATAGAAGAGGTTTAGTGTTCCATCACGATAATGCAAGAACTCATATAAGTTTGATGACTCCCCAAAAGCTTTTGCAGCTTGAATGGCAGGTGCTACCACACCCACTATATTCGCCAAACTTAACAACTTCGGACTATTACTTGTTACGGTCTTTACAATTTTTTTGGATGGGAAAACCTTTACTTCAAATCAGAACGTCAAA